AGCCCAAATAGCTTTTGACTTGTAATGACTGTGTCCCTGGATGACAGTGTGGAAAGTTTCAACTGCACTTGTTTCCTTTCTGTGATTAAAGCGTCTGCCTTTTCTTGAAGAACGAAAGTGGTGTCGCTCTGACTGTCCAGAAGGGCATAGACAAGAATCTCGTGTTCTGGATCGCTTGTTGTGGACAACCAAACTGGAACGATTGTGGATGTGAGATCACTGTTAGTGTTTTGGACAACACGGTTGGATATTGCCTTGTTTGATGTTTCTGAACTTGGTTGTTTGGTTTCCCTTGTGTCCTTTTGTTCCTTGTCAGGATCCTTTGTCCTTTTGACTTCCCTGTCACGTTCCTGATGTAAGCATGTTGGATGTTTCCCTTTGCATGTATTACAAACACTTCTCCTTTCACATTTTTTTGAATGGTGACCAGGGTTGAGACATCCAAAGCACAAGCCCTTTGTTTGTACAAACTTGACTCGATCAGCAATTGACTTGTCCATGAACTTTCGGCAGACATGAATTCCATGGTTTGGTCTTTCACAAAAGATACACATCTTAGTGTCTGATTTCTCTTCAGAACTGCTTGCTAACACTTTTGCACCCACACTTCGGATCTTTGAGGTCTTTGTTTTTTCAAAGTCACTTGCCTTTAGTGCATGAAGCGATGTTATTGGATTGCACGCTATCTTCGCCTCTCTTGTAACAAAGTCGACAAAGTTGCTGAATGTCGGAAATGACCCACTTTGTTCTTGTATGTCAATGACTTTTCTATTCCAGCTCGCCGTTAACCAATCAGGAAGCTTGCTGAGTATTTTCTGATTTTCGCTGCAGTCATTGAGAACTTCAAGATTCTTAATCTGGAACATTGCTGCTTCACAGCCTCTGAGAAAGTCTGAGAACTCTTGTAGTTCAGCACTGTCCTTTGGTCCTATCCTTGGCCATGATGTGAGCTTATCCCTGAAGGCTTTGGCGATTACAAATGAGCTTCCATACCTTTCCTCCAGAATGTTCCATGCTGCAAGATATGCTGTGTCCGTTCCTAACAGGAAATAACTCTCAATTGCTTTTCTTGCTGGCCCACCAACATATTTCCGGAGGTAGTAGAGCTTTTCATTTACTGGGATGTTCTTCCTGTCTATCAGGGTTTGAAAGGACATTTTCCAATCCTTATACTTGAGTGGGTCTCCAATGAAGACTGAAGGTTCTGGCACTGGTAAACGGCTTATGTTAATTGACTCTGCTAACGCCCTGGCTAATGCAGTAGTGCTGTCTTCTTGTGTAGCATTGGTTGCACGTTGCCAGCTTGTGGCCTCTTGTGGCACAGTGCGTTGTTGCGGGTGAAATTCTGGCAAACTAACCAGGTAAGGTGTGGCTTCTTTCGGCCTGGACTTACTGTGTAGAAGCTCTGATATTTCTTCATCTGAAGTTGATTCTTGCTCGTAGACTTTCAGACGTGCTTCGGCGGCTTTCATTTTCTTGACAGTTTCTAAGCGTTCTATCTGCCTTCGCTTTTCTTCTAATGTCTTCTGTTTTTCAGCATTTTCTGCTTCTTGTTGTGCAAGTCTTTTTCTGTTTTCAGCTTCAAGATTTTCAAGTTCCCTTTGCTCATGCTCCATTTCTTGCATCACTTTCAAGGTAGCTTCAATTGCAGCCAGTTCTGCTGCTGCTTCTTGTTTCTTTGCAGATGAATTACTCGAATGGCTTGAACGCGTGGTTGCACTACCTGTATGTTTGGACCTGTAAGATGCTGAAGATTGGAACACTGAGCCAGCCTCACTCCAGTGAGTTGACCTTTTAGCTGGGTATTTACCACACTCCTCTTCTTTAAGGATCTCTGATGCATGTTCTATTATCTTTGCAGAAACAGCATGACATGTGTCTATTCGACGACGAGTGTCACTGTCAGGAGTGTTGTGACTGCGCAACTCGTGATAGGTTTGCTTTACTTCTCCAGCAGCATTTTGGACGCTTACAATGTGATCCCGTAAGCTTGCAGTGTTAGGTGCATCGAGTGCTCTCTTTGCTTGTTTGACAATAGCTTTCCATTTGTCATAATTAGTCTTAAAACGACACTGAAGCTTATTCACTCTTTCTTCGTGTAGAGCCTGGCCCTTTTCAGTAAGCTTTCTGTTTCTTTGGCTTTTTCTCAAAGCATCTTCAGCTACTTGACTTGAATTTGCCTCTTGTGGTGGGTTTGAGTCTACAGTTTCTTCAACGGGGCTTGCTTGATCCTGCAACTTCACAGCTTCACTTCCTTGGACTTCAGGCTCAGCCATTTCACTACTTGAGCTAATGTATGTGTGTTGACTTAAATTCAGATTACTTGTGTTTGTAAAATTACCTAGATTAGTTTAAGGCACTATGGATATAATACTCTTAAACTGTAAATATGAACTCTGTTAGAATTAACTAAAAAATGTGTAAACACCTTAATGCAAATAATAAACTGTTTTCACCTTGTATGAAAATAAAGAAAATTGACCTTCAATGTCAAAGAAAAACAATATGACTTAACTATGCCTTAGTGCACCTTTAACTTTGCAATATAGTGTTAGAATGTGCAATTTGTATAAATCACCTTACAAAGAAATAAACACAATTAAACTTAATCTTAATTTCAGACACATACACTTAAGCCCCTTTTAGCACTTTAGAGTCCCTTTAAAGTTAGCAGAATCAAACTACTTCTTAACATTTAACTTGTTTAAATGTGTTACTTATTTGTAGCTTGAATCCACGACACTTCTGGACTCCGGTTGCCACTCGTCGGGTTTCCGTTCATGCAGTCCGAGTTGTCTTTGATGCTCGTGAGCGTAGTTAACGATGTAACGAGCTGTTAGTTTATGGCTCCGTCGCAACCGGCACCGCTCTCTTCTCCTCCAACCCGAAGCAGGCTGAGTTCTGACTGTTACTCCCCTCGAGTTTTAATAAAGGCTCAAGTCATTCCTGGATTTTCACGGGCATATTTATTCCATGACGGACATGTCTTTACATGTTCACTTGTTGCATTTCCAAATTGCCGTCAGAACTGGTATATAAATAAAACACATAAAACGTAAATTAACTTTAAATTCTTGACATATTTGCAGACAATACTAAACAGAAATCACAAACTAAAAAATAAAGTATACATTTATGCAATGTAAAGTAAATTGGCTTTGTTACAAACACAGTCACGTTATACAAATACATGACAAAGAAAGAGAAAATATATACCTCATTGGCCACATGCACTCGAGAGGGTAAACTTAGAAGGGAATTCGTCTTCAATCCTCAACAATAAAACTTATAAATTATCTTTATAATCTTCCATGGCTTTTTAGAAAACCGCAGCACATTTCTCTCATCAAGAACTTAGCGAGTGTACCCATAAAGCGTCCCTATAGCAACAAATTATGATTTCCGCACGGAACAAAAAAAAATAAGTTCCACCCTTTTTCTCACAGTTTTAACAAAAGAAATAATCATGAAATTATTATTTATTGACCATGAAACATTTCAATCATATGATTTTTAACCTCATATATTTATATTTTAATTGTGAACCATATTTAACAGAAATGCATAAGTTGCCTTTGATTGCAGCTACACTCACTGTAGCCTAATCTTCAATAAACTCCATTTTTACAGGTTTCTGTTCTTCCTGCTGGTCTGAGTCCATGTCTTCACTTGTAAATAATGAGCTTTTAAAACTAACTCGTGAAGTTTTGAATACTTTATAAATCTTTTGTTTTGAATCAGCGGTTGTTCAGACTCAGAGCGCGTCTCCTCTTCTTCTGTTTCTGCCGGTTTGTGAAACCAACTTAAAGAGAGCCGTTCCGCCACCCGCTGGTTTGGAGTGTGAAGAGCACACACAGCTGACTGAGGGGATAATGAAGAGAAAAAGTGAGAGAGAAAATTAGTAAACATATCAAATACTTCTATTTTCTTCCTGTTATATACAGCCTACACCTGACTGTCTTTTAATTCCATTAGGACTGTTTGGTATTGCTGAAGTATTTCTCTTTCACATGCATTTTAGAAGCTTTATTGTTTCTGGGTGTCCACGTTTGTTACATGTAGCAGCAAAGGTGTGAAGAAAAGGATTTAAAAATGATTCGGGAGGGCAAAGTTTATAAAGGGGACCAAAAGTGCAAATTTCTTGGAAGAATACAAAACCTTCCTCAATTATAATACTTTTTATTGTCTTATGATAAAAAAGCTGTTTATAAAACGGAGTAACAGGTTTAGTCAAAGATTACTTGAACAAAAAAGCTATACACGATCGTTTCTTTTACATATGCATTTGGTGAATAAAAAAACTAGATATTCTTAACACAACAATGAAAAACAATTTAATAAAATCTCGGAGAAATATCAGCTTAGTAGGCACTTGAACACACAAACATTTTGTACATGTAAGAAAACTACTTTTTTAAAATATAACTTCTTTGATATTGTTCTTCTGGGAAAAACTTGAAACCATTAGTCTTAAAAATGTAAAAGTTTTACATGGCATGTTATGGATTAATGCTTCAAATCCTTTGCGCAACACATTCGTGGAAATGGCGAAGAACAGAATCGCCATAACATTTGAACTAATAATGTCTGAAATCATAGTTCCTGTTCAGTCCAGAAGTTAAATAGCGAAGCGAAGCTCATTATTTTTTTTCACATGAATGACAGTGAAATGTCATCTTTTCGATGCGGATGCTCTTCTCTATTTTCAGTTGTCCAGGTGGACTAAGGGTGCGGTCACATCTGTAGTTCGGTTCAAATTTATACTTTGTAGCATTTTTCTTCAAGGACGTCTCGGTACGCTTGTTTAGTTCGATTTTGGTGCGCACCCGAGTGTGACTGCTGCCTTCACACCTGCCTAAACGAACCGCACCAAGGGGGAAAACGAACTCTAGTGCGATTCAACAGACGTAAATGAGGCAGGTGTGATCTCTTGTCACAGTGTGAACGCTTTAAAGGTTTTTCTCCAATGTGAACTCTTTGCTTGTTTGTTTGTTTTTTCAGTTTAGCAAATGTCTCTCACACTGATATGCGTTTTCTTGTGTACTTTAAAAGCGCTCAGTCGTGTAAAACGTTTTTCACAAGCAGAACACGTGTAAGCCTTCCCCTTTGTATCAACATTGTGTGCTGCTTTCTTTCTCCAGAATGAGAACACAGATGCAATTTCAAAGCTCGAACACTTCTGAAACTCTTCCTGCACTGGTAGCATGTGTGCGATTTCATGACACTTTTTTGTGCGCAGCTTCCCTTCTGGTGCTGCTTCAGTTCACCCTCTGTAAAATAGGTTTTTCCACAAAGCAAGCACACATGATTCTTCACATTAATGTGTTTTTTCTGGTGTACTCTTAAACCATGCGGCCATGAAAATGCCTTTCCACAAAAACACACGTGAGGCTTCTCCTTTGAATGAGCGTGCATGTGATTCTTCAGGGAACCTGCCAAAATAAATTTTTTACCGCACTGATTACAGTTAAATGGTTTTTCTCCAGCATGATATCGCATATGTACTCTCAATGAACATCTGAATCTGAAACTCTTCCCACATTCATCACATGTGTACGGCTTCTCTCCGATGTGGCCTCCTTTTAGTGTGTAACTCTTCCCACTCTGATCATACGCATGTGGCTTCATTTCTGTGTGGACTTTCAAGTGCTTATAAAGGACTCGTTTTAGTGAGAATCTCTTCCCGCACTGATCACATTTGTTCGTGTGGATTTTCATGTGATAAATAAGCTTTTTTTTAATCCTGAAACTCTTCCCGCACTGATCACATGTGTACGGCTTCACTCTGGTGTGGACTCTCATGTGATACCTAAGCTGTGAAAGAAATGTGAACTTCCTTTCGCACTGATCACATGTGTGCGGCTTCTCTCCAGTGTGGATTTTCTTGTGTCTGTTTAGGGTGGATTTTAGTGTAAAACTCTTCCCACATTGATCACATGTGTGCGGCTTATCTCCATTATGAGCTTTCATGTGGTCTTGAAGTCTTTCCTCACATATGTAACACCTCCCACACTGATCACATTTATAAGGCCTCTCTTTAACGTGGCTTTCAATGTGTCTCATAAGTGCTTCTTTAAGGGTGTAACTCTTCCCGCACTTATCACATGTGTGTGGCTTTTTTACAGTGTGGATTTTCATGTGATATTTAAGGTATCCTTTTTGTGAGAAACTCTTCCCGCACTGATCACATGTGTGCCTCTCTCCGGTGTGGAGTTTCATGTGAGCATTGAGGGTTCTTTTTATTGCAAAACTCTTCCCGCATTGATCACATGTGTGCGGCTTCTCTCCAGTGTGGTTTCTCATGTGAAACTTCAGGTATCCTTGAGAAAAGGTCTTCCCGCACAGATCGCATGTGTGCTGCTTCTCTCCAATGTGGCTTTTTAAGTGATTTAAAAGGAATAATCTTTTGGGGAAAGTCCTCCCGCACTGTTCACATGTGTGCAGCTTCTCTACAACATGGACTGCCATGTGAGCTTTAAGATTTCTTTTGTTTCGGAAGCCTTTTCCACACTCAGAGCAAGTGTAATTTTGGTTGGATCTTCTACGTACAGGTTTACTTTCGGTCTGTGAGCAACTCAAAGGGTTTTCTTCAGTTTTGACATCCAGTTGTGTGTACTCCGCTTCATCCAGTTCTTCACACACCTTAATCTCTACTGCCGGGTCTAAAACGAAAGTTAAAAAGTTAAAAAAAAGTTAAACATTTGCTCTAATGTAGTTTAACCAATTAGTTCCAAAAGGAATATTAATAGTACATCATAAATTGTTATAATTAATTCATAGTTGGGATTTATGACTCAAGTGTGGTTAGACATGCGCCTTGCCGTTTATTCATGCTGGCCTAGTGCCTTCGGTTAGTCATTATTGTCGAGCCCTGAAAATAATGCTATTTAAGGGATAGTGTATAGCGATAACAAATACCAGCCCGAAGGGGTTGTATATGCTATCAAATGTAATAAAACACTGCATAGTCTTCACTGTATAAATTAAATATTGATTAATCAACTGCCGCGCTATACATTATCCCGCTTATTACATGGCTACGTACCAAATAAATCAATAATTTCACTCAAATTATTGACTTATTTATTTAAAAACAATTGTATTGCTTCCGCTAAAGAAAATAGTCCGTTCCGTGTCTGAACTGCGTCCTTGGCAATGCTCTGTTTTACATGTGTTATTACTTATCAAGAAATAACAGACCGCGTTCTACATTGAAATTCTACCAAGCCATGTAATAAATTGTAATTTTCTGTTATATTCCATTTTTATTTAATTAGAAGAACAGAATAGTAACAATGATTTCTTGTTGAATGACCATTTTTGACAACGTTCACTGAAATGGCGTATGTATGATACGCCAATTCATATTTCCATTTTTGGCGTGCTATCAACACGCATAATCACTTTTCAGCGTGTTTATGAACGCCGTTGAGTTAACGTTACATTACTGTATAAATAACCCAGATAGCAAACTGACATTGAATCAACGTGGAAATATGACATCGAAACAACGTTGATCTGACATTGTTTTGCTCATCGAATTAACGTTGAACCAACGTCAGATGCGTCATTCTTTCAAAACTAACGGGAAATCAACTTGAAATCAACGCGTTGTTTCAACGTTATGAAAGCAAACCAATTTTCGATTTCATTTAGCTTTGAAGAATGCCGCGTCTGACGTTGGTTCAACGTTAATTCGATGAGCAAATCAACGTTGTTTCAATGTCATGAGGGACGTCGTTTCCACGTTGATTCAATGTCAGTTTGCTGTCTGGGAAATGACCTACCCCAACTCCGTCCCTAAACCTACCCGTCACTGGGGTTAATGTCTTCCCCTACCATCCTAGGAAAAAATACCGCTCACCAGATGTAGATCTACATTTTGCTTCGTTTCGCTCGGACATTTAACGGCGTGTACATACACGCGGACATTTAACGGCGTAGACATACACACGGATAGCTCAAAATGTGTATAGATAACACGCCACTTGACTTGAAAGTGGCGTCTATGTTTAAGCTAAAGTCATGATGTGAAGTTGCTTTTTTAATTACAAAAAAGAATGATTTTTTGCCCGCCACTTTGGCATTTTTCAATTAACGTTACTAAATGTAGGCTTTAAAGCTTATTTGTGAAATGCAACAAATAGATATGTCTGATTGTCTCAGTTGTTACAATAGTTATATCAGTTAGCATTCTTGTTGTGAACGAGCCTAAACATATATTAACACTATACAAGTAAAAGTTTGAGTTCAAAAACTGAAGAAAAAATAACATGCTTTTAACAGAAATGGTTTTCCTTGTTATTTAATGGTTCACCGCATCATACATGAAGTATCCAACATAAAAACCAACCTGTCTGTTGTTCCTTATCTTCAATTTTCACTCTGAGGGGTTCTTCATCAGGATCACTCCTGTTCTCACTGGAATCTTCAATAAACTCCATTTTTACAGGTTTCTCACTGTAATCTTCAGTAAACTCCATTTTTACAGGATTCTCACTGTAATCTTCAATAAACTCCGTTTTTACAGGTTTCTGTTCTTCCTGCTGGTCTGACTCCATCTCTTCACTTGTAAATAATGATATTTTAAAAATGATTCGTGAATGTTCAAATACTTTGTAAATCTTTTGTTTTGAATCAGCGGTTGTTCGGGTTGTTCAGAGCGAGTCTCCTCTTCTTCTGTTTCTGCCGGTTTGTGAAACCAACTTAAAGAGAGCCGTTCGTTCCGCTACCCGCTGGTCTGGAGTGTGAAGAGCACACACAGCTGACTGAGGGGATAATGAAGAGAGAGGAAAAGTGAGAGAGAAAATTAGTAAACATATCAAATGCTTTTATTTTCTTCCCGTTATATATTCTTTCTCTTTCACATGCATTTTAGAAGCTTTGTTGTTTCTGGGTGTCCACATTTGTCACATGTAGCAGCAAAGGAGTGAAAAAAAAAAAGGATTTAAAAAGGATTCGGGAATGCAAAGTTTATAAAGGGGACCAAAAGCGCAAATTTCTTGGAGGAATACAAAACTTTCCACAATTATAATACTTTTTCTTGTCTTGTGATAAAAAAGTGGTTTATAAAATGAGTAACAAGTTTATTCAATGATTACTTGAACGAATATAAAACTTGAACGAATATAAAACCTAAATAAAAGTGAAAAGGAATGAGATATTGAACTTTATTGACGTAAAGGGTGCAAGACAAGGAGAGAATCATAGAAGCATCCATACACGATCGTTTCTCTTACATGCATTTGATGAATAAAGAAACTAGAAACTATTCTTAACACAACAATAAAAAACAATTTAATAAAATCTCAGAGAAATATCAGCTTAGTAGGCACTTAAACACAAACATTTTGTACATGTAAGAAAACAACTTTTTTGAATATAGGCTAACTTCTTTGATATTGTTCTTCTGGGAAAAACTTGAAACCATTAGTCTTAAAAATGTAGAAGTTTTACATGGCATGTTATGGATTAATGCGTCAAATCCTTTGCGCAACACACTCGTGGAAATGGCGAAGAACAGAATCGCAGATAACATTGTGTTACATTTGAACTAGTAATGTCTGAAATCTTGTTTGGTCCACTTTTGGTGCGCACCCGAGTGTGATTGGTGCCTTCACACCTGCCCAAACGAACCGCGCCAAGGGGGAAAACGAACTCTAGTGCGATTTAAATCTCTAGTTCGATCCCTAAATCTCTTGTCACAGTGTGAACACTTTAAAGGTTTTTCTCCAATGTGAACTCTTTGTTTGTTTGCTTTTTCAGTTTAGCAAATGTAGACTCTCACACTGGTATGTGTTTTCTGGTAAACTTTAAAAGCGCTCAGTCGTGTAAAATGTTTTTTTCACAAAGGTTTTTTTGTGGTTTCATTTTTGTGTGACTCCCTTTTGTGTGAAACTTTTCCTGGTGTGGATTTTCATGTGATAAATAAGCTTTTTTTTAATCCTGAAACTCTTCCCGCACTGATCACATGTGTACGGCTTCACTCTGGTGTGGACTCTCATGTGATACCTAAGCTGTGAAAGAAATGTGAACTTCCTTTCGCATTGATCACATTTGTGTGGCTTCTTTCTAGTGTGGATTTTCTTGTGTTTGTTTAGGGTGGATTTTTGGGGAAACCTCTTCCCGCACTGATCACATGTGTGAGGTTTTTCTACAGTGTGGATTTTCATGTGATAGTTAAGGTATCCTTTTTGTGAGAAACTCTTCCCGCACTGATCACATGTGTGCCTCTCTCCGGTGTGGATTTTCATGTGAGAATTAAGGCTTCTTTTTATTGCAAAACTCTTCCCGCACTGGTCACATGTGTACGGCTTCTCTCCAGTGTGGATTCTCATGTGAAACTTAAAGTATCCTTGTGAAAAGGTCTTCCCGCACAGATCGCATGTGTGCTGCTTCTCTCCAATGTGGTTTTTTATGTGCTTTGAAAGCTGTCCTTTTTTGGGGAAAGTCCTCCCGCACTGTTCACATGTGTGCAGCTTCTCTACAACATGGACTGCCATGTGAGCTATAAGATTTCTTTGGTATCGGAAGCCTTTTCCACACTCAGAGCAAGTGTAATTTTGGCTGGATCTTCTACGTACAGGTTTACTTTCGGTCTGTGAGCAACTCCAAGGGTTTTCTTCAGTTTTGACATCCAGTTGTGTGTACTCCGCTTCATCCAGTTCTTCACACACCTTAATCTCTACTGCCGGGTCTAAAACGAAAGTAAAAAAAAAAAATTAAACATTTGCTCTAATGTAGTTTAATCATTTAGCTCAAAAGGAATATTAATAGTACATCATAAATTGTTATAATTAATTAATAGTTGGGAAGGATTTATGACTCAAGTGTGGTTAGACATGCGCCTTGCCATTTATCAATGCTGGCCGCAACATGTCATCATGACTTTTGCGTAAACATACACGCCACTTTCGAGTCAAGTGGCGTGTTATCTCTACGTATTTTGAGCTATCCGCGTGTATGCATGTATGTCTACGCCATTAACGTCCGCGTTATTCCACGTGTCTGTACACGCCGTCAAATGTCCAGTCATAAATGCCATTAACCCCAGTGACGGTTAGGTTTAGGGACGGGGTTGAGGTAAGTCATATATTTATATAACGTTAAGTCAACGGCGTTCATAAACACGCTAAAGAGCATGCGTCTTGATAGCAAGCCAAAAATGGAAATACGAATTGGCGTGTCATACACACACTACTTCATGAGATCAGTCTGCTGGCCTAGTGCCTTCGGTTAGTCATTATTGTTGAGCTCTGAAAATAATGCTATTATGTAATGCTTGGTCACTTGCAGAACAGTAATCGTGAATCGTGACAAAATTGTGATTTTCTTTAAAAAATAAAAAATCATATGATATGATATTTTTGCCATTGCGCGTTTCATAGAAACACTATACAAGCAATAACAATATCACACACAATGTCGTGGAATGTACGTTCATTTATAGACGAGGCTGACTCCAGCTCCTTTTTCGCCAGCTCCTTATTCGCCGAACTATTCGTTCCACCTTAAAAATGTTGGATGGTTGTTAACCCCTCCCCCTCGGTTCTTTTGCCCGTATTTCTTAAAGGAACAGTTGTATGGGGATTATGAGCCTGTTGATCGGGCAGCATTTGTCATTTAACAGTGCATGTATATGTATACTCTTGTAAAAATATATTTTATGCCTCTGTAAATGGTGTAAACTACGTGGTAAATTCAACCAGAGGACTTATTTTGTATTTAAGTTCCATCTCTTACTAAATGTATTTTAAAAGAAAGGAGAAAAGTGACATTATGTTTCTAACTGAAAATTAATGTTATGTAATTTATATTCTTTATTAGAATTTATTATATATTTATTAGACTGGAGTAATGGATAACTTCTAATGAAGAATATAAATTACATAACATTAATTCTCAGTTGCAAACATAATGAAAAAATGAAAAAAACAGGAATGTGCAGGTGTAGATAATTCATTATTAAATCGAATCTTGCATTACAACATTTTCTGATGTGTTATTGTTTAATTATGGTACCCAGAAAAGTTCTCAAAAAAAGGGGAACATAGAGGTATAGATAAATTCATTATTAAACGAAATCATGCATTACAAAATTTTCTGATGTGTTATTGTTGAAATATGGTACCCAGAACATGCCCCACCATTGCAACTTTACATATGCTGACAGAGCATACTGGAGGTGTCATTTCTTTATTTTTTTCAAAAGTTCTCAAAAAAAGGCGAACATAGAGGTATAGATAAATCCATCCTTAAACGAAATCCTGCATTATCACATTTTCTGATGTGTTATTGTTAAAATATGACACCCAGAAAATGACTCTCCATTGAAACTATATGTGCCGACAGAGCATACTAGAGGTGTCATTTCTTTATTTTTTCAAAAGTTCTCAAAAAAAGGGGAACGTAGAGGTATAGATCAATCCATTCTTAAACCAAATCCTGCATTTCAACATTTTCTGATGTGTTATTGTTGAAATATGACACCCAGAACATGCCTCACCATTGAAACTATATGTGCCCGCAGAGCATACTGGAGGTGTCATTTCTTTATTTTTTCAAAAGTTCTCAAAAAAAGGGGAACGTAGAGATATAGATAAATCCATTCTTAAACCAAATCCTGCATTTCAACATTTTCTGATGTGTTATTGTTGAAATATGACACCCAGAAAATGACTCGCCATTGAAACTATATGTGCCAACAGAGAATACTGGTGTCATTTCTTTATTTTTTCAAAAGTTCTCAAAAAAAGGGGAACGTGGAGGTATAGATTAATCCATTCTTAAACCAAATCCTGCATTTCAACATTTTCTGATGTGTTATTGTTGAAATATGACACCCAGAACATGCCCCACCATTGAAACTATATGTGCCGACAGAGCATACTGGAGGTGTCATTTCTTTATTTTTTCAAAAGTTCTCAAAAAAAGGGGAACGTAGAGATATAGATAAATCCATTCTTAAACCAAATCATACATTATCACATTTTCTGATGTGTTATTGTTAAAATATGACACCCAGAAAATGACTCTCCATTGAAACTATATGTGCCCGCAGAGCATACTGGAGGTGTCATTTCTTTATTTTTTCAAAAGTTCTCAAAAAAAGGGGAACGTGGAGGTATAGATAAATCCATTCTTAAACCAAATCCTGCATTTCAACATTTTCTGATGTGTTATTGTTGACATTTGACACCCAGAACATGCCCCACCATTGAAACTATATGTGCCCGCAGAGCATACTGGAGGTGTCATTTCTTTATTTTTTCAAAAGTTCTCAAAAAAAGGGGAACGTGGAGGTATAGATCAATCCATTCTTAAACCAAATCCTGCATTTCAACATTTTCTGATGTGTTATTGTTGAAATATGACACCCAGAACATGGCCCACCATTGAAACTATATGTGCCCGCAGAGCATACTGGAGGTGTCATTTCTTTATTTTTTCAAAAGTTCTCAAAAAAAGGGGAACGTGGAGGTATAGATAAATCCATTCTTAAACCAAATCCTGCATTTCAACATTTTCTGATGTGTTATTGTTGACATTTGACACCCAGAACATGGCCCACCATTGAAACTATATTTGCAGACAGAGCATACTGGAGGTGTCATTTCTTTATTTTTTCAAAAGTTCTCAAAAAAAGGGGAACGTGGAGGTATAGATTAATCCATTCTTAAACCAAATACTGCATTTCAAC